CTATACCCAGCAAGACTATACTTCATGTGAAAAGAAAAGATAAAACATTCTCAGACAAAACCTGAAAGAATTTATCAACACCAGACCAGCTCTTCAAGAAGTTATGAAAGGAGTGGTTTACTGGAAAACTAAAGATACACATACAGAAATAAGAGAACAAAAAGCAACCAATGAAATGACCAACTTTAATGCTGGGGACAAGAAATATCAATAAGGGAACCAGCAGTTAGCGTAATGGCTATGTCGCTGGACTCCCACGTAGTCGACCGCGGTTCGTGTCCCGGATCCGGTGGCTTAAAACTCACGCCAGGCGCGTGTGCGTGCGTGCCCAAGATCTCAAGAGGAGAATGGAGGAGAAGGGACTGCGGCGTGGCCATTCCCCCCTGGGGAGTGATTTCTCGCTTTCTGTCTCTCTGCCTCTCTCTGTCTGTCTGGCGAGCGCACGCGCCCTATAGTGAAAACCTCTCCAAGAAAAAAAAAAAAGAAATATCAATTATAACGTTGAATGTTAACTTCCGAGATTTAAGTGGAAAGATTGGACCACAGTAGCGCTGTGAAGAGAGATTAATTACATAAGACTGAACTGGTGAAATAGAACTTTATGACTTTTGAGTAAAACATTACTGATTTTTTATTTACTATGCTTTGTTTCCCTAGTTTAAGGGTTTTGCTTTCTTTTGAGCTATTGATAAGTTCAGAAATTTGTTAAAATGTTTTTTCTTATTTGTTTCTTTAAATGGAAATATAAACATTTCTCCCTTCGTGACCCCTCTAGAATTGGGAAATATTTGGGAGTATTCTTATTTTGTGGCAGAAGGGTTATTTGCACAAGTTCACTAATACCTGTTGCCTTGAATCAGAAATTGGAAATACTCATTATTGGACAGGGCTTTGACTGGAATGTCATATCTGAAGATTAAACCAGAAAACTATGGAACTAAGGTGGATCTCAAGAAATCCAACAGAAGCTCTTAGAAAGACTGCCTGGCACCATAAACAGTTCTGCCTGGCAGAGAGGATTAGAGAAGCTATATAAAATAACTTGGACTTTTCCAGCCAGCATTGTGATCAGTAAAGGTTGCAAAAGAGCAGTCACAACCAGAGGACTATTTTGAGAAAGACCTTGAAGGAAGAAAAGTATTCTGGTATATCATAGAATACTTGGTAGGCAGGGCTGAATTGAGAAGGTTTATGTGTGAATTGTGTGCTAGGTGTTTGCTTTTCAACAGTTTAAGTAGTTGACATGTAAATTTTTTCTCAAAAATATTTAAAACCATACTGTCTCTGTTGTTATAGAGTCACAAACAAAATTATAACATATATTTTAACATTATCTTTAAAATTCAGTTTTTTGAAATTCTGAAAGCTGCTTATTAACTGTCAAGAACTATGGAGTATGAGCAAAAATATTTTGATATGTAAAGTAAGTGTGGGAAAATGTAAAAATGAATTAAAAAAACTAAAACAAGCAAACAAAAAACAAAGTATGCTTCTCTGGGTGGAGCAGGCTGGCATTTCAGTTGAACCCAGGTACCTTTCTCTTTGGCTTCCTTCTTTTTCTGGCCATTTTCCTTCACACGTTTTAGGAAGCTATCTCTGCTCTTAGAATGCTTAATATGCTCAATACGCACATTAATTCTCCTGGCAAGAATCTTGGCCTTAACTTGTTTGTTTACAATGCCAACAGCATGTAAACAGGGTGACATTGTAGACTCTTCCAGTCTTGCCATAATAACATTCATGGGGCATTCCTTTTCAAACAGTATCCATTCCCTTCATGTCTACAATATCACCTTCCTTGTAGATTTGTACATATGTTGCCAAAGGTACTACTCTATGTTTTCTAAAAGGCCTAGAGAATGTATACTGGGTGCCTC